TCCATCCCCTATCTTCTCCCAAACAACATCCGGTTTAGAGTTACATCCCTTATCTTCCCCTAAACCGTGGAATACATCCCCTATCTCCTCCCACACACATAACGTATATACACAAAAGTCATATACACAATCAATCAATACATAACATTAATATATTCTATCAACCGTCATACTCTATGACATATCCAATTGATTAGTTTTAGTTTGCCTAATCATCATGCATTGTCTACAACAATCAAAACTACCCTCCACCGGTAGCCCAAGCAATTATTTCTAAACAGATAATAAAAGCTCCAACAGATAAGATATCAATGTTTTCGAAAGTGAGCGATTAATAAATCTAACTCCACTATTCTACCATATAATGAACAAATTTCATTATTTCCAACTCAATTCCATAAAATCACAATTTTCCCAAAGTTAGGATTTTCCACCAGATTTCCCAATATTGACCCAATGGTCTAAATATCAACAACCAACAACGATATCATTATTTTGAACCCACAATACACATTTTAGACTCAAAATAACAAAATCCTCTTTTAACATTTTGAAACCCTAAGTCCCAAAATTTACCCAACTTCAACACTTTATCAAAACAACCAAAAATCTAGGTCAAAGACTATAAGAGTAAGTAGGAATCCTTACCTCAAAAAAAAAAAACGGAGCTCAAGAGAAGAGAGGACGGAAATGAAGTTGCTCCAAATCACAAGTTTCTCAGATCAAAGTGTAGCCCTCGACAATAAACCAAACTTTTACAAAGGCCGAAGGAAAAGGAAACACTCTAACTAGATCAAACCCTAGAGAGAATGGAGTTTCTAAAGAGAGGAACTCTCAAAATGTCTTTTTGGAAAGTAAGAGAGAGAGAGAGAGAGAGAATGTAAAAAATGAATTTAAAACGCCCAACTGCCAACTGATATACGACATTCTTGCTCGAGCGAAGAACACAACGCTCGAGCGTCAAGAACAAAAATTAGGTACGCTTGAGCGCAAGAATGCCTGCTCGAGCACCAAGACATAAAAATAAAGTATATCCGCTCGAGCGCGAAAACCAGTCCGCTCGAGCGTAGATTTTCCCCTCCCAAAACTTACACAAAAAAGTACTATCTGCTTGAGCGCCAGAGTACTCGCTCGAGCTCCACCGCTCGAGCGTGAAAAACATGCCTGCAGCAGTTCTGCAGAGCACCAAAATACTGGGAGCGTGTAATATCCGCTCGAGCGCAAGAAGACCCGCTCGAGCGGACCTCCCAAAAATTGGGCAACAAAGAATTGAAACCAAAGCCTAACCAACCTGTAACAACTCTGTCCAATACATCCTAAAACTCAAACAAATGGAATTAAAGGACGACAACAAGATGAATACAACTACCAACTCCACGGAACCGAGTCCGAAATACAATAGAACAGTAAAGGGACAACCGGGATTGCTATAGATTGGAAATGATTGTTTTCAATACTGTAAGGACATTCATTCTTAACCTCTTTACGCATTATGTTATTCACTGGGCTTTAGCTCACTGTTTATATATATATGTAGGTGTACAGGCACCAGACCGGAGCTAAGAGCGTGGGTTAGACTCCCTTTTTGTCAAGCCAACCACTGTGCCTCACTGCGAGGTTCCGAGCCTGCCAAGCTATGGCTTTGGGGTGTTTTAATTTCCCCCGTCTGTCTCTGCATCTGTTTTGTAATAATTGTATAGACTGATAGCACTGTACTGTACTGTCTAACAGGGATTAGGTCCCTTTTCACCTAAACATTTATCCTAAATGTTGTTAGAATATATTTAATATTTGATTAAATCAGGAGTTCAAACAGCTCAAAACAAAGTTTCAAACCGCCTAGCACAGCAGCAGGCCAAAAGGTTCAAAAGGTTTAAGTGGAAGATATTCAAATTAGTAATGATGGAAGTACAACGGCTATAAATAACTATAAAGGTTCAAAAGGCCAAAATGTTCAATTGGAAGATATTCAAATTTGTAATGCTGAAGTGGAAGATATTCAAATTGGTAATGATAGAAGTACAACGGCTATAAATTCAAATGACTACAACGGCTATAAACGGCTATAAATTCAAATGAATACAACGACTATAAACGGCTATAATTTTCATTATATACCAAAGCATCTAATGTAAACAAGTTACAAAAAACCTGAAAATATTCTTTAATCTATAATCACTCACATCTTTTCTCAGAAATTATATACTGAGCCTTATAGCTTTAAGCCTATCTTTCCTGTGTGAGATTTATAGAAAAATCAAAGTTTCATTTTATATATCTATCTTTGAGAGATATTTATTGTAAGCTTTTTTTGAAAGTAAAAATACAATTTCATCTTGTAAAAGTGTTGCAAACACTGTGTTCTTGAAATCTTGAGAGTGATTGTGAGTCACCTAAGATTTGTAAGGGTTTGGGCTTCTGAAGTCTGTGTAAAATCCGTGGAGGATTGCTCCATTTGTAAAGAGGTTGCTAGCACCCCTGTGAAGCTAGAAGATAGTGGAAAATCTCAAGTGAAGCTTGAGGAGTGGATGTAGGCTTGGTTGAAACCGAACCACTATAAATCTGTTTGTCTCATCTTCCCTAATCTCTTTACTTTCCTACTACTGTTATAGTTATCTAATATTCATGTGTTAATCATTTGATTTACCCTGTATGTTAGTTATACTTCATTGTTATTTTGCTTGATCATTTACTGCTAAGTTCATCATTGTGCTTATTAATAATTTGTTGTACTAGTAGTTAATTTTATTGTGGTATTATTAATTTTATTTTGTAGAAACTTAATTCACTCCTCCTCTTAGGTTGTTTTTTGGGTAACAATAAAATAGTATAACATCAATGGTGATTTAATTTTGTAATTATTTATGATTATTATGAAAATTAACTAAAATGATTAATGAAGTATACAAAATTTAATAGTTGACGGTTAATATCGATTGTTCAAAGTGAGCCTTGATTTTGAGAATTCTTACATAATTTGTGTCGTGAAATCCTAAGATGACACGAGACTTATTTAAACCCTTTTCAGTATTCAATTTTGGAATAATGGTAGATATGGAGGTGGTACAAAGGGAGGTTATGTACCCTTGGGGCAGACCACGAATACCACTGCTTGGGTATGTAACTTTGGACATGGGCATCCTTGGTTGTTACGGTTGGTAACACTTAAATAGTTGAGCAATGAGGGGTTTCAAATTAACCGTGGCCATGGCTTAGTGGTTGGTAAGTTATTGTAATGGTTGTAATTTATATTTACAATTATATTGTTATATCATGTTTATAATCTCGTTATTTGTTGTGTTTTCTTACTGTAACTCATGGCATATGTTTTGTTGTTCTGACATTTTATGCCAGATTTTGATAAGGAAAGAATTGGAGTTGAAAATGGAGTTGACGCTAACTTAGAGCTTTGGTTGACTTGAAGCGACAACTGAAGCGGAATAAATTTTATTATCTTATGCATTAACAATTAAGGACTTTACGATTTTGTTTAATGTTATATTTGGACATTTTAAGTTCTTATTAGGTGTTGTTTGAACTTTTGGTTATATGAGAGTTAGAATTTCCAATTAAAATGTTAGTAAGTTATTTAGTTTATTTAATTTCTCTTAATGTTTCACAATTTTTAGGGCGTCACATAGTCCAAATGCAACAAGTGCAACAGTACATTCGTCGTCTGCGATGGTGGCGGGGGGCGAGGATGATAAGTTGGGTGGCTAGTGTTGTAAAGTTGGGCCTTGGTGGCCCGAAAAGTGAAAGACAAGTAGAGACACACCAGATTTGGAAGAAGAAGAAGGAGGAGAAGGAAGATAAGGAGAAGAGAGAGACAGAGAGAGCATGCACGCGCAAAATTAGGTAGGTATACACTTAGTTGTGATGATATTATGAATATGGATAATATTAGTATTAAGGCTTCGTTTGGTAAGTGACTTTTTTAGTCAAAAAATCAAAAAGTTATTAAAAAAATCAAAAAGCCAATGACCTATACAAAAAAGTCAAAGATTCTTTTTTCTCTCTACTTTTTGCACATCTTTTTGTAAAAAGTCAAAAAGTCATCCCATATACTAGTTTTTTTTTACATTATATTTTAGCCAAAAAGTTAAAAAATTACTAAAAAAAACTGTTCCCAAACGAGGCCTAAGTGAGAATATTCAAAGAAATCTTTTTAAAATTTAGAATTTAAGGTGGCGGTTCAAAAAAATTAAGAGTCCAAAAAATTAAGATATGTGCTAATAGTAACACTCATTATATTGACCTCCTAAATATATATATATGGGGGTTAATTTGGGATGTACGTTGACTTTTTAGTTATTTTAACTTGAGGCTAAAAAGTTTAGTTTGGAATGAACTTTTTGACTTTTATGATAGAAAAAATATAATGATTATAAATTGGATTTAACGCTTTATTTTATTAGGTTAAAAGTCTATTTTATTTTTTTGACTAAAATAATCAAAAAAAAATCCCAAAAAAGCTTATGCCAAACGAGCTCAAACACTGTTAAGTTTGATATAATTATATTAATTTTTTTAAAATTTCAATTAACACAACCCTTAATCTTATTTGCTTCATTAAATAAATTAAAAAATGGTATTGGGTTGTTTTGAAAATTTGGTTAGTAGTTGATTTTAGTTTTTTTTTTTTTATAAAAAAAATTGTTAAAAAAATAAAAAGATAATATTAAATGAATTAAAAATCACAAAATAGCTTTTAACCTCTCTACCCAAAAAACACCATTATGTCACTATCTATATTAGTTTTAAAATATTTATTAAAGGGATATTATTGTAATTATATTTAAAAGAATAATATTATATATATTAATTAATATATTAACAGATAATATAATATAATATTAAAATTTTTAAATATATCTAATTTATGTAATATATAAGATGAATAATAATAACATAATATTAATAGATATATTAATGTGTGCATTAATTCATAATATCACCGTATTTAAAATAACGTAATTTAGTTTTGTATTATTCTAAAAGCTGAAGGTAGGTGTGTCCAATCAAGCTTCTCAAGCTCTCTCTCACCTCGCTTGTTCCGCCTCGCAAAATCAGAGTGCTCACAGACAGACCATCTTCTCTCTGAAATCCCACTCTCTCTCTCTCTAACAATCATGGCGATGGCGGCGAGGAGACACTGCTCTTCTTCTCTGTGGTTCTCTCCTCTCTCCTCCCTCTTCCTCCCCAGAGGCGACCTCCTAGCTCTCCTCTTCATTCTCTCTCTCCTCCTCCACCACCTCACTCTCTCCACCGTTTCCGCCGCCGACTCACACTTCGAGGGTTTCGACGCCGACGACGAAACCCTAGACGATGACTCTCTCCATCTCATCGATCTCCCTCTCCGATCCCCAACACCTCCGACTATCACTCAGTCCGACACCACCGAGTCCGATCATGGACCCCCTGATCAAACCCCCCTTTCGGCCGATTCGGATATACCTTCCAAACCCTCAACGAGTTCGTTCGAGTACTGGGACGAAGACGAATTCGAAGGCCTCCCTGTACAACACCAACCTCCAGAAACCGTGAATTTAACCGATTACGAATCGAATTCGGATTCGAAAACTGAAAAAACTGTGAAGAACACTGCTGATGTTCAACGATCGTATATAGTCGAGATTGCCTGCGGATGGTTCTTGATTATCTTTGTAATCAATTATTTCTATGGTAAGAAAGAGAATGAGAACATTGCGTTGGCTTGGGCAACGAAATTCGCGACCAAGGACTCGATTTTCGACAAGAATTTTAGTCTTTTGGGGGTCGGTGATGGGGCTGACTCACCATTGTTGTTGAAAGAAGGACAGAATGTGTTCAAATTTTATGCGAGCGGGCGGCGATTTTGTCAGGGGTTGTTGGCGACAATGGAGCTCAAGAGCCGGCACGATTTCATTTCGAGATTGTTCAATATGGTTGTGCCTTGTAAAGATGAGATGACTTTTGAGGTTTATATGAATGATGAAGCAATGGATCAGGTGGTTCTTGCACTGGCAAAGAAGAAGGCCTCAAAAACAATGCACAAGGAAGTGAGGGATCTTCAGAGTTTCGCGAGTTTAGTTTCACCGCCGAGTAATAGGAAGTGGGTTGTTGAGGATTTGGCTGTTATTTCGGAGTCGAAGGAGGTTGCTGGGGATTTGATCACAGAGACCGTGCTTGAGCAGGTATCCATTTGTTCTAATTATTGTTTTGGAACTATTAATTATTCCATACTTAAATCAGTTGTGTTTGTTGTTTATTATTGTTCTAGGCAGTCCTAAAATTGTTTGTCTGATAAAGAAAGTGGTCAGTTGTGATCCTGTTGTAGGGCTAAGTTGACTTTATTGCATGATTGCCAACTTGGAAACAGATGAATTGACACCCAACCTGAGTCTTGTAGAACAAGGTCATTAATAATGATTCAATATCATGTTGTAATTAACACTATGTTTGGGGACCTTGGAGAGAAAAGAAAAGTAATGAAATGATTGTGATTTTTCTCCTTCTTGGTTAGATGAGTAAGAAATAAAAGAAAAGGTGAGTAAGAAATAAAAGAAATGAAATGATTGTGATTTGTCTTCTTCTTATTTGGTTAGATTTCATAAGAGAAAAAGAAAAGAAACTGTTTTATGTTATATTATCAAAATAACCTTAATCATTTTATTTCTTTTATTTTTGCAAGGACAAAATTAGTATTATGAAAATATAAGAATCTATTGATTTTTTTCTATTCCAATCTCTCTACTTTTTAGAAGATTGAAAATGAGGGTTACTAGAGAAATGGGTTTCTCTCCGTTTCTTTCAATCTCTCCCCATTTCTCTCCATTTAAGTTATCTAAACAAGTAAGAGAAATACGTATCTCTCCATTTCTTTTTTTTCTCTCTCTAAATCACTCAATCCAATGTTGGACATTTTACGTACTTGGCCCAAAAAACATTGTGCATTGTGCATTAAATAGATCGTGGGTACTGGTAATTTTTTTTTTAGTTTCTTTAGTGTGGTATTACTGGTCTGGCTGTTTGGAGGAGTTTGACTGAGTTAGTCTAACTACCTTGTTGAGTTTACCTATGTGCTTTGTGTTTTCACCATTTTTTATTATGGTAGTGAAAAGGCTTGACAAGATGTAACCAGCTTGTTGTGGGGTGGTACATGTGATGAGTTTAAATGTCATCCTGTAGTATGTACTCCTATTAGAGAGAGGGGTCTATGGATTTTTGGAGGCTTGTCATTTTAAATCAAGCTCTTTTGGAAAGTGGCTTTGGAGGTATACTTTCGAAAGAGACAGGTTTTTGACTAGGGTGGTTAGGTCAAAATATGGTTGTATGTGGGGGGATTGATCTACCATGGAGGTCTCCATGTCTCACGGTAAGGGACTTTTGTAAAGCATCTTAATGGGATGAACTTGTGTTTTTTAAAACATTTGTGTGGGGAGGAGAAGGTGGAGGGAACATATCTTGCCCTTGCTAGGATTGTGGTAAGGGAGCTGCTACTAGTGACTACCTTATAAAAGAATGTACTCAAGTCTTTTCGGATATTCCATAACAAAGAGAGACAGAGATCAAAGCCCTCAATTTATTTCCTTCATTTTCCTTTCTTCTCCTCTGATTTGCTGGTTTCTTCTTGTTCCTCTCAGTTTTAGTGTTTTGGTATAGGGCTTGGTTTGCCTTTGATCTCTTGTGAACTCCTTAGATCTCCTTCGCTCTCCTTCAATCTAGGGTTCAACATTCCTTGATCTCGGGCTTCGATCCTTCTCTTTTCGTAAGTGAATAGGACTTCAATCTCCATTGATCTCCTTTGTTATTCTAGTTCCTTTTGGTTTCACTCAAATCGAGAGCTTCATTCTCCTTCATATTGTGCTACCTGAAGATTTCTCACAGGTTCTTTGATGGCAAAGCATGAAGAGCTACAAGACTCGTTGAATTAATACATGCAGATGTTTGCTTGAAGGTCAAGATGTTGCTTCGTCCCTTTGGAGAGTAAGGCCATCATGTTTCTTAGGTTCTACAATTTATACTGAAGATTGTAAGATGAAGAGGATTGTTCAGCAAGGGCTGAAGAGTTGGACTTTGTAGGTGAAGACCAGAATGGAAGTTGAGTGATGTTGGAGAGGGAGAGGTCTTCATAGAGATTGGACAAGAAGGAATCTTCACAGATCTCTCTTTTTGCTGGGGTATAAATTTTGATGATTGGACAAGATTTACGAATTATCTCAGGTGCATTGGGGGAGAGATTTATTAGGGAGTTTGACAGGGGAAAGTAGGTTCCTGGAATGGAGGAGCCTTCAAAAGTGGAGGGAAGGTTAAGGAATGGGTGATATTAGGAAATATCTTACTGCAATATCAGTGTGGACTTTCCATGAATGAAGGAAGGTGTTATAAGTTGTTTGAGAAGACTTCAAAGCTACCAAACCATTTGACCAATGAAAGAGAAGGTGTTGAGTGAGAAGAAAAAAAGAGTCCTAATTAGAATGAGAGGGGAAGAAGAAAGGGGAAAGGTGTAAGAAAAGCTAGACAGAAGAAAAGAGACAGATAAGAGGGAGCAGCCATATCTGGGATCTTACATTGTTTGATTTTCCCCTTCAAAGAGGCAAGAAAAATATATATACAGATAAATATATTAAGATATTAACCATTTTTTTCATCGTCTCTTGTATTCCAAGATGCCAAATTACCGAAGTCATTTAAGTTGTCATGCATGTTGCATATGGATTCAGAGTATTAGGCTTTATGTCATAAAGGATCCGAGCGGCTTTTTTACGTGTTGGCTGTCGGTACCTAACACACAACCCTCCTCCTTTACCCGGGCTTGGGACCGGTGGAGTTGTTAAGCAATCCCGGCGGAGTTGCATGTTGCATATGGATCTGAAGGGAAATTTAGTAGATGTGGGCATCCCTCTCACATTATAGATAAAAAGAACAGACTGAAATAAAATAACCATGCAAAACTAGTAAACTTAAAAGTATAACTTACAAAGAAACTGAATACTTCTGAATCTGAACTAGGTTTATTCTCTCTTAATCATATTTTTCTTATATATTCTTATTATTTCTTATCCTACAGATTTTCTTTTCTTTTGAGTGATTTGTTTGGAGGCTTTGATTGATAACCTGTTTTGCTATTGTAAGCAATGCCCATTTTACCCAGACTAGTTCTACTGCAGCTCACCCTTTCACGGCTGTAACAGTAATAAATCTTATAACAAACGTGATGTCACGTATTTCTAGAAGAGTTGAGTATCTGCTTCTCCTCTCTGTATATAGTGTCATTCTATTCTTTATAGTCATCTGAGAGTTTCCTTGCAAAAAGAACATCCATTTTAATTGTTAGAATTGATTGTTCTGGACTTTTTAGTTGTTTGTTGATGGCAGCATGACTAATTGAGTTGTGGATTTACACTTTATTTACATGGTAATATTTCATAGATATCTATAATCTATGGGTTGCTATGTTCTCTCTCTTATTAGGGCTAAGACTTCAAAATTAGAAAACTATGACTCCTTGACTATTAATCAGCATGTTTGGTTAGAGTTTTCCAAATACTCTTTTCTATATTCATATATATAATATATAATAAATATATAAAATTATATATTTCATGCGTGTCTTCCACGTGTCGTGTCCTGCATTTTTTTAAAATTAACGTGTCGGCGTGTCCGTGTCGTATTCGTGTCGTGTCACGTGTCCGTGTCCGTGCTTCTTAGCTATAATCTATGGGTTGCTATGTTCTCTCTCTTATTAGGGCTAAGACTTCAAAATTAGAAAACTATGACTCCTTGACTATTAATCAGCATGTTTGGTTAGAGTTTTCCAAATACTCTTTTCAGAAAATTCTACTTTCTTGTTTTTCGTGTTTTTTTGTTTTTACTGATTTTTTTTAATATTTTAAGCAATTTTTTTTTTTACTTTTTAGACATACCTAACATAAATATACTTAAAAAGTAAAAAATTTGTGAAAGAAACCTTTTAAAAATTCACTAAAGGCTAGTTTGGCATGTACTAAATAAGTCAAAAAGTTAAAAAGTCACTATCTTATTTTAGTCACATCATCTTATTTAAATCACATCACCTCTCTAACACATCACATCAAACCCAACCCATTTTTTTTTTACTTTTAGACATACCTAACATAAATATACTTAAAAAGTAAAAAATTTGTGAAAGAAACCTTTTAAAAATTCACTAAATACCAAAAATACAAAAAAAATACGAGAATTCTGTACATATTTTGTATTTTTATGTATTTATTAATTTTTTAAAATGTTTTTTCACAATTTTTTTACTTTTTAGATACATCTAAGTGAGGTGCATCTTAAAAAGTAAAAAAAATGTTTAAAATTTTAAAAATATTCACTAAAAACAAAAAAAACATGAAAACCAAAAAACTCAGTTTTCAAAAAACTTAATCCAAAATCCTCAAACCAAACACACTGAATGTTATTCTTTACCTGTATAAATCATATATGAATGCCTCAAAACATACTTGAACTATGATATGACCAAAGAAACATGGATACGTAACACACTGACATGAAAATTTTCAAAAGAAAAACTTGGACAAGATGTGTGAGGGACATGTTGGGGACCGTACAAAATATGTAGTTTGATATATTTATTATGCTATGAAACATGATTCGACAAACATGCCGTACCTGTACCGGGTACTTACCGGTATGGTATTTCGTATTCTACTTGTGCATACGTACCAGGTACCGAAATCCAATTTTTTTCTTCTTAATTTTGGGCGTATCCAAACGTATCTAGCATATACTCAAGACGTACCGTACTTCATTCAAAACAATATTTTCTTCTACTACAGAGATAAAACAATATTTTCTTCTACTACAGCGATAAAATTCCTTTCATTAGACTTTTTTTTTATTTTTAGTTTTATACTTAGCATGATTTTAAAATTAAGTTATGGTTCGTAAGTTATTTAATATAATGACATTTAATTTTGATTTATACCTTTACTTTTGGTATTAAATGTTAATTATAGGTTAGATCTTAACAAATTAAACCATTTACTCAATTTTTGTATTATTTCAAATTAAAAATAAATATTTTTTTACAAACGTACCAAGCCGTATCCATACCCTAATTTTTTTAGATTTTACTGTATTGACGTACTTGTATCGTATCAATGCTTTTCTTTTGTCATTGAATTTCAAATTATTTTATTCAGTCTTGTAATGTGTTTTACGTGTGTGTAATCGATAGACTTGTGTTTCTCCGGTGTCTAAAGTGTGTTCAAGTCTAAATTTTTTTTTAAAAAAAAAAAATTTAAATAGAACATGTTAGAGCTGTATCCAGTAGGTGTTGAGAAGTGTCCACAAATATCATGATGTGTCGGGCACTGACAGTGTTTGACACGGCACAATACCTTCTTAGAAGTGTTTGTGTGCTTCTTAGGTTTGTAGCCATACACTTTCAATTTGGTTCCTCCAGCTGTCTCCATCAACAAGCTTATTCTTCCACTCTGTTATTTCTGATCCTTGCCCTTATCGGTGATTGTTTGCTGAAACGTTTTCTGTTGGTGTATCTAATTTTATTGTCATATGAAAATTAGTCCATCAAACAGCCACATAATTATAGAATTAACATACGAAATAATTCTTTCCTCATGCAGCATGATTTGCACTTGTTTCTCTACAGGTCTTTGGCGACAAAGCTTTTGATAAATACGGAAAAGGTTTCATCTCAATGCATTTTTCTGATCAACATGTGGGCATGCACAAGAAGATGCTCGTGTTCAAGTTTGCTCTCCCTGATGCCAATCACATGGCTGACATGACTCGATTAATTGCTCTTGTGCCCTACTACATTGATTTAATCGGTCGCTACAAGCTCAGTTCACAGGTGGGTCATATTTATAATCATTTTTTCCAGTACATCTAGGTATTTGTCAATTTGTCATCATGATATTTTAAACCAAGATCTCTGCAATTAATACAGTCCCGGTCCAAGACAGAAGCAGCCCGAGCAAAGGCTGCTCAAGAGGCATACAAAGAACTTCAAAATGCTAGGCAAGACGCGTTGCAGAAAAAGAAGGCTGAACGGAGAAAGTTGCTGGAGGAAGCTGAGGCAAAGCTCAATGCCGAGGCAATTCGCAAGAAAGAGGCAAAAGAGCGTGCTCGCCAGGTGAAGAAGGCCGCGCCAAAGGTGAAGATGACACGTGCTCACTAGATCTGAATTAGTTCTGTTTGTTCTGTGCTATGCAAGTCTTATCATCATTTTTCTCAATTTTGAGATGGGTTCCCGCTCCATTCCTACGCAGATACAAATAGATTCTGTACCATCACACGCCTGTGTATGATGTTAGCAGTAGTTAGGTCAACATTTACTTACCCAAAAAAAAAGGTCTTCGACATTTGCCACGACGCTGTGGTTTTTGAACATTAGTCCTATTCAGTAATGTGACTAAACAATGCATCAATTATCGATTATCAAAAGATTTATTTTCAAGAAGCAACCGCGTTATTTCTACTGTTTTTGTGCCATGCAAACCAAGAGTGTTCGTTTTCTTTTGGAAAATAAATCTTATGATTATCAAAAATTGATGCATTTTTTTTTTCAATTTGGCAGCACACAATTATCATCTGTATATTATGCATACGATGCAGATGGATAATATTTGCAGAATGTGCTCTTTTGGGAGTGAGTGAATGATTGATTGCTTTGGAAGAATGAAACTATAGTAGTAGTAAACAGTCTACACAAGATTTAAAGATGGAATGTATGTCCATGCTCGAATCAAATAGAAGGAATAAACAGGTGAACAAAGGTGTTTTGTCTAAATGTGTTTACTTCAAAAAACTAATAAATACACGAGTAGTTATATTTTAATAGTTAGACATTTAATAAAATATTTTTATAAATTAATCATACAATAAAAATGCAATTTTAGAAGCATTTTGGTCTTTTTGTTTTATATTTAACAATTCTGTTCTCTTTAGATTTTAGTTTATTGTATATTTTTTTTTATAAATAATTTTCAAGTAAATATAATAGAATTTTTTTATAGACCACTTTGTTTAATTATTTGTTTTGAAATGAAAGTATATTGAAACATAGGTATTACCATTTTCAAATAATGTTGATCATTGTCTACTGAGCTAATTTAGAATCAGAGCTAGTCAACGATGATGAATTTCTCTAGAGTTGTAATTAAGTTGGCATAGTCTTTAAAGAGTGATCAACCAAAATTTTTATGATTGGCATCACTGGATTGTAATCCTCTTAATTTCATATTTGTAATGGAGAAAAATTATTATATCATCTAAGGGTGCGTGTAATATTATTTTCTAATTTTAAATAATTATAATTTGTATTCTTATTTTATAATCATTAGATATGTTGTAACGACCTTCACTCTACTCTAGTTATGCTTGTATAAGTTACATGATTTTGTTTTGATATATTGCATCATTGCAAACCTTGATTTGTCTTGCTTAAGTGTTTCTCGCATGTTTTGTACCTTGCTTGGTGTGAGTTTAGCCGAGGTCATCCTCAGTCTAGAATTATCTTGGAACCCATTTGTTTGACCTCCACCTTCGCCCTGACATATTGGCCGAGATGTCATTATCTAGGCCGAGGTGTTCATCACCAAGGCCGAGATGTGTATTATCTAGGCCGAGATGTTACCTTTGCACCTAAGTGACCTTGTCCTGGAGTGGTATGACCTAGACTGAGGTGTGACACATCTAGGCCAAGGTGTGGCACAGCTTAGCCAAGTGTTGTCCCTCCTAGCCGAGATCATTGTTCCCCCTACTTGCCGATGTCTTGTTCTTAGCCGAGGTCATTACCTGCCAGAGTGCCCATGCCATCGTGCTTGTTGAACACATTTTGTCATAGTCTTGTCTTTTCGCTCAACCACCTTTTTGAGGAGAACCAACCCGGTAGTGCCACTTGTCCCAGCTGAGTGTTAAGTCAGCCAGCAGACCTAGAAATGTGTCATTTGCTATATGTCTTTGTTCTTGAGGAGAGAGAAGCTCTAGGAAGGAGAAGAAGTTTTAGAGTGAGAGAGTGGGCTTTCAAGCTTGATTCCTAGAGATCAAACCGTTAGATTCGTGTATTGAGGTTAGATTCTTGATTTACTCTTGTTGTTCTTATTGATCATCTAGCTGCATTGCACGATCGAACCTGTTCTGCACGTCATGCATCGATTTAAAGTTGGTTTTAGAAAGAGAAAATAGTGTTCATGTGTTCTTGAAGAAAATGTCTTGTTTGATCCGAAAGTTTGCCTTAAGATTCATGTTTTGTGTTTGTTCTCACAAGATCCTTGAATATAGGTACCTAGGTTCATGTTTTTGAATTCGTAGCATGAAATCTCGGATTTTGTAATAGCAAATTATGATCCTTGCATTCATCTTCCTCATATTCATGTTCTTCATGTTCGTCATGTTCTTCAAGAGAGGGAAACCCAGATTTTTTCCGACCTCATTTCCTTGAATGTGGCCATCGAGGCAACACCTCGGCAAGGAGGTGTGGGACCTCGGCCTAGACCTGGTAGTCGCCCTGCATGTTTTTTCGAGATGGGAAAACAGTGTTTTGTTTTGACTTAGCTTGGTTTTGAATGGTGCCAAGATCATCTGTATGCATGTGAACTTGTTTGAAAGTGCATTCAATAGATTTTGCCATGTGTTTGTAGGACTTGGACTTGCCTTGACCCCGACGTCTGAAGAGCTATGTGAGTGGTATTTTAATAAAGTTATGTTATTAAGTTTTGATAAAGTTTTGCCTTGCTTGTTTTGATAAAAGTATTTGTTAAGCATGAATGATATCCTTATTTTATGTATCAAGTATAAGCTTTGTTTTGGATGACATTCTTGGAACCATCCTTTCATGTTAGGGGACGTTAAGCCTAGGTAACACCGTCCTTTCGTGTTAGGGGACGTTAAGCCTAGGTAACATAGTCCGTAAGTGCCAGGGGACTTTAAGCATTTGTGGCACAAGTCCTTCCGTGCTAGGGGACTCTAAGCCTATGTAGCATAGTCCTTTCTTGCTAGGGGACTTTAAGCCTAGGTAGCCCCGTCCTTTCGTGCTAGGGGACGTTAAGCCTAAGTAGCACCCTTGTTATGATATCGGCCACCAACGGACTATGAATGGGTGTGCTCGATGCCAAGGTCATGCTTTGTTTTGCCCGGGATGTCATCACCCTATGTTTTAAGATTTGACGTATGTTAAGTAAGTAAGCAAGTTTTTGGAAAAAAACCAAGGTTCGATTGATGTTTTGTTTCAAGCCAAGCTAAGCTATGTTATGTATGGTTTTGACAAGGATATACTATGTATTGTTTTGAAAGGATCTCGGGTATCATTCATTTAAAACCTTTATTACTTGTACCATTCACTGAGTATTTAAGCTCACCATCCCTATGTATATATGTAGGTAACAAGCAAGAAGTCGGTTACGCCGAGATGTGTGTTTTGTATGTATGTTATGTCAGCAGTGAGGATGTCGGCAATTTGGAAGATTATGTTTCTCGACTTGTAGCTTATGTATTTTGAACATGTCGGTTTGAGAAACCTTTTAGTCAAGATGTAATATGTATTTTTGTACTTTATTTTATTTGTATTCATTCCTCATAGTACGTTATTCACACACCTTGAGTCCTAAAGAGCATAGGATTTCCCTTAGAAAGATGTTAGGATTGCATCATGATGCTTGCTATTTGACGAAGTGTGCATCATCTCGGCTTGACTGTTTGTTACTTGCATACATGTCTATTTGATCGTTTTGTTTTAAAGTCACATTTTGCATACTCATAGCATCATGAGGAGGGGTAGACCGCCAGTTGGCCCAGATTATCCCGAAGACAGATTGGACAGATTAGAGAGATTGGTCGAAGGTTTGGTCCGTGAGTTGAGACAACCTAGGCCACAAGACACTAGTACTACTTCTACTCAGGCCGAGCAGACAAACGGCCGACATGCAGTTCCACTTCCACCTCCTCCAGCATCGCAAGTGCCTCCACAACAAGCTTTATATGGGGACAACACCATAGCCTTGATCAGAGAGTTCAAAAAGATGAAACCACCGAGGTTCTCTGGGGGTATTGAACCGATGAAGGCCGAAGCGTGGGTCTTGGAAATGGAGAAGCTGTTTGAGATCTTTCCCAGTACTGACGCCTAGAAGGTGTCACTGGCAACATTCACACTAGACGACGATGCACGAAGATGGTGGATGATGACCCGAGAAAGCAACCCAGGTCTGACTTGGGCCAAATTCTTGGAATTGTTTTACAACAAGCATTTCCCCCTTAGTGTTCGAAACTGTAAGACCACAGAGTTTCAGACTTTGACACAAGGCAACAAGACAGTGGCAGAATATGACCGTGGTTTTACCGAGTTGGCGAGATATGCGCCTCACATGGTCGATGATGAATACAGAAAGGCCAGGAAGTTCGAAAGTGGACTGCGTGGACCAATTCAGGATCGAGTTAACATGCTCAATATGCCGACCCACGCTGGAGTGTTGGACAAGGCCATCTTGGCAGAGGCTAACTTGAACCGGTATCAGAACTCAGGAGAAAATCAGAAGAAGAGGCAAAACTATGATAATCGCCGAGCTCCGTTTAACGCCAAGAAGAAAGCGAATGTGGGCAGCTCCAGCAACTCGAACCAAGAAGGTAATACTAGGCCGACGTGTGCAAGCTGTGGGAAGCCGCATTCCGGAGTTTGCCGTTGGGCATCGGGAGCCTGTTTTGAATGTGGTGAAATGGGTCATCGTGTGAAAGACTGCTCGAAGGCAAGGACTGATGATGGTAAGAAGAATGAGAGTACCTCGGGCTATGCACAGAGAAATAACATCGGAAGGGCACAAACGAGGCAGGGCAAAGTTTTTGCATTGGTGCCAGGAGACACTCAGAATGCTGAGACAGTAGTGTCAGGTATACTCCCAATTTGCTCTCAAGATGCATACATATTAATTGATTCGGGTTCTACGCATTCATTTGTATCTGCTAAGTTTGCCAAGAAGTTAAATAGAGAACAAGAACCCCTTGACTATGTGTTATATGTGTCTACTCCATCTGGGAGAACTATGATTGTTGCATCCATTTATAGGGCGTGTGTGGTCGTGATTGGGGGTGTATAATTGTTAGTCGATTTAATGCCGTTAACCATGGCTCACTTCGATGTCATATTGGGAATGGATTGGTTATTAGCAAATCATGCATCCATTGATTGTGTTACTAAGAGCGTCACATTGAAGACCCCGAACCGACCCGAGGTCATTTTCCAGGGTAAGGGAGTAGTACCCCCACCTTACTTAATCTCATCCACGAAAGCCTATAAGTTGATCCAAAAAGGGTGTCAGGGTTATTTGTGCAGTATACTAAGTGATTTGAATGGAAGTGTTGAGTTAGCCGACATACCAGTTGTTAAGGAATTTCCCGACGTCTTTCCAAATGAGTTGCTTGGCCACTTGATCGATAGAGAAGTAGAGTTTACAGTGGACATCATGTCGGGAAAGCAACCTATCTCCAAAACACCCTATAGAATGGCCTCAGCTGAACTTAAGGAACTAAAACTGCAATTACAAGAATTGTTGGGTAAGGGTTTCATTAGGCCGAGCACTTCACCATGGGAAGCACCCGTTCTATTTGTTAAGAAAAAGGATGGCACACTTCGCCTTTGCATTGATTACAGAGAACTTAATAAGGTAACCATCAAGAACAAGTACCCGTTGTCTAGGATTGATGATTTACTGGATCAACTACAAGGAGCACG